TTAAACTCCCATCTTTCTTTTTAATGAAAAACACTGGAGCTCCCCAAGGGGAAGCGCTTGGCCTATAAATCCCTTCTCCAATAAGTGTTGTAGCTTCTTGATTGACATACTAGAAGGTGCTTTCACCACTGATTCTGCCTCTGGTATTAAATCGAAAGAGAAATATCTATTTCCTTTGAGTCAAGTCTAGCATATCATTTTAAAAATACTTCTAGACACTCTTTTACTACTGGTTTATCTTTCAACTTCTTGTGTTCTTGCACAATATCGATGAATTGAGCTAAAATTCCTTGATGCCTTTTTGTTAGCAGTTTGTAGTCCTTTAATCTGGATATCATCATAGATAGGGCTCATCTATTTTCTACAAACTTAATTTCTTTTTTCCAGCAATATTGAATTTCACTAATTTGTTAGACCAAATTGATGGTTGTTAAGTGATTAGATACTCAATCCATCCCTAGGATCACTTCAAATTCGATTAGCGGTTGTAACACAATCATATTCGCCTTGAAGCTTCTATCACAAATGGTCGTATTCACATAACTTCTGTCAACTATTATGTGAGATCCATTTGGCAGAAGAACTGTTACGGCATTGGACTTTTTGAATGCTTCCAATTCTTCAGATCTCACAAATTCTTCAGAGATGACGGTTGTGATGCTCCAGTATCAAATAAAGTTTTGGCCAATTTGTTTAAATATATACAAAAGCTATAATAAAGAGAATATAAAATTATCGAAATAAATTAAAATTTGATATATCTACTGAAATAAAAAAAATACTTGTAATGATATTAGATGAATCATTTGCTTCTTGTTGAGTTAGTGCATATACTCTAGGTTGTACACCCCGATAGGTTTGACTCAGAGCTGAAACTGAACCTGACGACTCAGCTGACTTTTGTCTGCCAAAGGTCCTCTGAAAAGGTGGAGCACTAGCTGGTGTCAACCTGGGGTCTCTGGCCCAATGTAGGACACGATCTAGCCACACGTCTCAGTTAACGACGCCAAAAATAAGTATTTGTGGCTGACAAGCATTATCCTCTATGTGCCATTCCACAATTGACACGTTCTCTTATTGTTATTGTTGCTAGTGCCACTGCCAATAATATTGATGTTGGGTTAGGCTTCTTCAAACTAGACTATCCAAATTGGATAGATTGGGTGGCTTGTCCCGATATGGATCTATCATATCCTCTCATCTTCTAAAATCCTCCACACCTCTGCATAGACAACAATTCAATATCTATCGTCCTCACCCTCTCCACCAAGACAAACTAATCCTTAATGCTAAGGTGGCGTTTGGCTATGACTTGGATTTACGTTAAACAAGATTTATCAAATTTGCCTATCAGGTGAATTTATCAAATTCGCCTATCAGGTGAATTGATCTAATCTCGTGAGCAACGATCGACGTCATGTAAATTCGCTTCATAGGTGGATTTAATAAATTCGGATTTACGTTATAAGATAGATGAAACACAAGAGATTTTGAATTAACGGAGTGTTGAATTTAGTTTATGTTTTGCTTGGCGGGATTTAAGTAAAATTCATGTCTAAATCCTCAAAATAGTATGCTATGAAACACCCCTTAAGAGGAATTAAAGGTTGTATTATCGCATCCTTCAGTCCAGATTGGGAACAGTGACAGTTTTCTTTTATATTGGGGATTAACTTAGGTGCATATCGAGACAGCATCGTAAAGTCAACTCTATATTGCATAATGAAACGGTCGCCCTGCACCGGCCTGATGAATCGATATTGCATTTGCCTTCTAGCTGAAAGAGTAACAAACCAATCACAAAAGTTCTTACAAAATCCTTCTATTGAAGCTGGCTACGAGGTTGTTCTCCAAACTTCTTCTTAAGCTCTCGAGGTCAGGAAAAATCGTCAATTATTTTCTTTATCTGTAATAACTAGTTCTTTGTCTCAACCATCTTGCTCTTGAAAATAGTGGCCAAAACAACTTCAGATATTTATTCATCTATGTTGTTCCCCTATCTATAACTTGGGTATGAGAACCCTGAATCAGTCATGTCACTGCATCCATCATCTGATTAAATGCCTCCATAGGGACACTAACACCACTAGATGGAGATCAATATATGTTGGAGGTACATGATTATGTTGATTAGCAGCTCTTACCTCTCTATTATTCCCGTTAGTGTCCTGCGGATCAATATCATTTGTCCCAATATATCAAAATTTTATAATTATTAACATAAAAATTATAATTAACTTTTAAATTTTTTTAATGATCTTTAATGATTTTCCTAATAATTCTTTTATTATCAGTTTTCTACTACCTTGAATTGGGCTCTATCACTCTTATAATGACCCGTCCCGGGACCTTGGAATTACCAAGGCGGAAATTGTTGGTCAAACAGAAGAAAACTATCTAACAATTCTATTTTATAAAAAACACAAAATTTATTCAATTTATAAAATCTAAATTTACAATAGGTTGATATTAATTTGTAGATATTTACAACTACAACAAGCATTTTTTCTGTTAAGTGTGGTTGGCAATATGAATCACTTTTCTCAATTGTGTCCTATTGAGTGCCATGTTTTTCATTTACTTCTAATAAGTTAAGATCATTTTTTATACATCATGCTCAAGTTTTTTTGGTCTCTCTCTCCTTTCTTAACATAAGTTAAATCTAAAACATCTACTCTCCCAACTGGATCATTAGATGGTCGACATTTCATGTGACTAAAACATCTAATATGACTCTATTTTTGTCAGCCACTGGAGCTACACCAACCATTTTCCTAATACATTAATTTCACATTTTGTTTCTTAAGTGTCAAACCACTCATCCACCTAAGGATTCTTATCTCAATAACACTTAACTTAGTTTTATGTTTTTATTTTAAAGACCAACATTCTGCGTCATAAAGCATTGTAAGTTTCACCACCTTCTTATAAAATTTTTCTTCAAGTCCAAGCAATACTTTTCTATGACACAATCGGTACGATGCATTCATTCGCTTGAACCACCCAACTTGAATTCTATTAATAATATCCCCATATATATCACCATCACTTTTAACAACAGACTTGAGGTATCTAAAACGTTAACACCTTTTAATGATTTAACCCATTTTTACAACCTTGATGCTATATCTACTACTACTAAAATTGCATTCCATGTATTCAGTTTTATATCTACTTAAACACAAGGCCTTTAGGCTTTAATGTAGACCTTCATAATTCAAGTTTTTTCTAAATTCTTTCTCTAATCTTATCTATAAGAAGGATATCATCAGCGAAAAATAAAAATATACACTAAGGTATATCCTCTTGTAAATGTCAAGTAAGCGCATCCATTAAGAAATCAAAATGATATGGCCTTGAAGCCGATCCCTGATGGAATCTAGCTGAAATAGGAAAATATAAGGTCAATCCTCCTGTTCAAATTTAAGTAACAACTCTAGTATATATATCCTTAATGACTTGAATATTAGTTATATCAACACTTTTCTTTTCTAGAGTTCTCCAAAGAACTTCTCTTTGAATCTTATCATAATCTTTTCCTAAATCAATAAAAATCATGTTGATCACTCTTACTCTCTCTATACTTCTCCATCAAATCTTTCAATAAATGTATAGCTTTAATAGTAGACTTGTCTAGCATAAATCTAAACTGATTATGAGAAATCTTTATATCATGTTTTAACCTTCAATTACTCTCTCCCATAATTTTAATGTATGACACATTAATTTAATTCTTCTATAATTTGCACACTTGTGTGCATCTTCTTTATTCCTAAAAACGGAGACCAAATCATTCTTGCTCCACTCAGGCATCTTTTTAGTTTAAAAAAAATATTAAAAAATTTAGTAAGCCAAGGAACTCCTATTTTTTCTTTTTTTTGCACAAATATTGATCACATTGTAACATTGGTATTTAAGGAATCTTCTTCAATTTATTGATTTCCTAATTCAAATAAAAATTGTCTGCAAAAGAAATAATAATCATTGTGATTTCCTAAAAATGAAGTCTTGATTGACTTCAGAACCCAAAATAAAAATCCGCAATCTTAGATCTTGGACTCTGGTTCCTGTGATCATATGATACAATTCTAATTGTCCGTGGATTAATATTGCAAGTAACTTGCATTGAGATTATTAGTGTTACCAGCTGTATAGGTTTTAACTCAATTCAATCGGTTTCTGAATTTTCGTGCAACATTTTCAGGATATGAACTTACTTTTAGTTTTTATCCCGCTCATTGTAAATTTTAGAATAGGGAAATTGGAAAGGCAAAGCAAAACGTTAGTCTCTATTTCCTAAGTTATGAAAATAATCTTATAAGGCAGGAGAAATGTGCTTAGTATATATTTTCCTCTAATGAAAACGCAATCCTATTTTTAGCTAGTTCCTGATTTGCGGTTGATTTTATTAATTCTTCCTTTTTCATTTATTCTTATTTAGTGAATCATTTCTTCCCTCAAAAGTTGGTGATCAAACAAAGCTATTTTTTGGTATCAATGACTTAAAAAATAAATAGAAGGTTAAGAATTTGAAACTTGCATCAGAAATAATGATATACAAAAATGAACATCTAAGAATTTCCATCTTTATTGAACAAGTATTTCTCAGAAAAACTCATGACTAATAAAACTAATGTCAGCATGTGCTTAGGCGTGTCAAATGTTAGCTTTGGTGAGACTATATAGAAGCTCTTTTACTTTTGAATGAATAATTAAACTATGGTTTAACTTATACTCAGGGAGTGGAGTCAAATGTTGGCTTTTTGCGATATTATTAACAACCTCTAATGTTATGCTTCACAATTCTCTACCTTTTAATTTCCAGAATTTAAAAGATGTGGCTAAAAGTTTCTACTTTTGCGGATTTCCTGCTCTAACTTCAATTTTTCATTTTTAGATTAACTTGTATATTATTTATGCAATTTTTGAATGTATCTCCTAGTCAGATTCTTATTTCTAACATATGAAATATGAGCCCAAAAGTTTTAACTTTTTTGCAGGAAGGACAAGGTTATCAAAGTATATTACCTGAAATTTTGAATCAAAGTGTCGGAAGATATTCTGAAGCTTCATTATCTGAAGATCAGCATAGGGCATTAAAAAAGCTTTCAAGGTGGGAAGGTAAAAAACGGATGCTTTAGAGTCCTCTTCGCGAAGAATGTCTGCCTAGAAGAAACGATCAAGTATTTCATTTGTAAAGTTTGAGAATCAGAACAAGTAAATAACACCATATTTTCAGAAGAACAAATAACGCTTCTCCTCAATAATGCAACATGAAGACAAGCTCTAAAGTGCGAGGTAAGGTAAATTTTGTGTTTCGAACATCTATAGTAATCTCTCTTCAAGTGTTAGTATTCTTATTCCTAATGAGTAAGAAAATTCGAAGTCACTCGTGTTGCGCTGTTATAATCTCTATGCTTAGTTTTTGATTTATGGTGCGTTTGGAGCAGCTTGTGCTTATCCAGATAAGTCGCTTATCTGGAAACGCGGACCATGGGATTCGCATTCCGCGTTTAGTGTAAAAAACCAACTGCGCTCAAACGCAGTTTCCAAAAACGCAGCCGCAGCGGATAAGCTGCCCCAAACGGAGCCTTAGACAACCGCATTTGAATATAGGAGTGTTTATAAAATTGCTCGTTTCTTATGTTTTTACATGTCTTATTTTGTAAATCAAATAAAAATGTCATTATCTTTTGGGAATGATCAAAACATTTTCATGATAGATGGTTGATATGTAAATACATAACAATTTTATGTTATGTAATTCTCATTTAGCTGGTATGATGAAAAATGACAGAATATTTGTTTTTCAGGATGGATTTTGATCATCATTTGCATTGACAGAGTTAATAAATCCTAAACATCTCAAGGAAATACAAGTTACAACTTGCAAATGAGTTGCAATTTGTGGATACAGGTTTAGCTATTGGGTTGGAAGTTCTTTTGGAAACTAATAAGTGATTTAGAATTTTACTGATTCGCTTAGCTTTTATTAGATAATTGGTTGTGTTTGCAATCCACTTGTTTGTTCTTTGTGCTTTGTTTTGATGTTAGACTTATGACAACAATGTGTTGCATCACAAAGGTCCAGCAGGGTGGAATTGAAGATTTAGTTTTTGAGAATGCTAGTGGTGTCTTTGTATTGTCATCGATGCATTGTATATATGCCTATATGTATATATATTTTCTTTGAAAATTTTTATCAAGTCAGATAATCACTTAAATTTTTTTTTGGGGCATTTGCACACATACCACCCAATTCCATGTATTTACATATCTTACAACTAAACTTTAATTTTTACATTTATACCACCCATATCTTTCGTGCCACATCAAATATATCACCATTGTAACTTTTAAAAAGTGGAAGGCACCTTTTCACGCATATGTAAAAAATTGAAGTGTGAGTGTTAGATATGTAAATGCACATGAATTCTGTGGTCTGTGTGTAAATATATATTTTATTTTTTATTCTTACATGAAAATGAAATGATGTAACTTAAAGTTAGTATTCCTTCTGTTTATGTTTGTCAGCTGGGCTATAGATGTAGGTTAGGTTTGTTTATCTAAGCAGGTGGATGCAAAGCATGAAAATAAACTGTTGAAATTAAATGCTACTATGACCACAATGTAAGAAATAATTCCACTTCTATGGTAGGTTGTGCATTTCCTGGTGCAAGACGAACATGGGAGGCAGATGGATCAATCATAATCATAAAAGGAATGAGGATTTTTAATTAAATTTATTTATTTGGGTTTATATGTTGTAATTTTTTTTGTAATTTTATTTGTCTTCATGCCATCCATTTATTTGAAAAGGTTAAAACATTTAAGGATTTTAATTATGCGGTGAAATAACAAAATCATGTGAGAAATTAATTGCATGACTATCATATATTTAAATATTTCTCATCTATTTTTAGAATATTTTAAGGCTAAACATTAGATAGGGTTTGTATTAATCGAGAGTTTTATCTTCATCTATGAGTAAGTCTTTATAATGAATTATATTTAAGCAATCAAAGATTTTTAATAAAACTCTCGATTCTAGTTGAGGTTATTTTTAAAAAAAATTTAAGTTTAAGTTTTCACAATTGATCATTAGAGTTCTAATAAGATAAACATGAGTGAAACGGTTATTAACGAAACTCAAATGACGAGGAGATAGAAGATGTCGAAGATATTGAGAGATTTGGGAAATATCAACCATCCTATTGTTTATTTGTATTGATTTCGAAAGAGCTTTACTTAGTGTTTCAACTTGACTTTTTTATTAGAAAGTTAGAACTTAGAACACACGGTATATGATTGTGAGAAAGCTTAGGAGGGTGAGGGTTTATGTCATGGCTAGACGAAAAATCTCATAATCTTAGAAATAAAGTGAATTTTACTGAAAGAAGTGACACTTCAAAACCTTATGTTGAGGTCTAGTTTTTTCTTCTTTAGTAGCTTAAGGTCTAGCCATAGAACTTTCTTGTTGACTATTTCCAGAGGACTAGAAAAGGAACCCTCACTATTAGAAATTTCAAATTCTTCTTTGCTCAACTTGAAGTTCCGCATATTGGTTTTAACATCTAGTACTTAGTAGGTGGGGTCAGTATGGAGAAACTCAAGTGGAGTCTCCCATAGGATGGTCAAACCTTAGGACTGACCCTGGGTGGTCTGGTGATGGTTGAAATGGTTTGCACACACTAAACTCTCTTGCATACCCCAAAACCTAAGACCACTTGATTTGGTCCCATTATTCATTTTGGAAAGCTCATGTGAATGAACCTATACCCCTAGTCTTTGGCTAATTAGGTTAGAACTAGCATATTGAGCATCCAAAATGAATTCTCATATGTCTCTTATTGGTTTGGCATGGCTTCATGACTTACTTGTCTATTCTAGCCCAAAATCACCAAATTACCAAAATACCCCTACAACCCTAATTTTTGCCAAAATCCTAAAATTACCCAAAATACTCAAATTTGTCCAAAAATCATCTTGAACCACTCACTACTACCTAAATTGACCAAAATTCACCTAAATCACTAAAGTCCCAAAATACCCCCAAAATTGCCAAAAATTACAAAAATGCCGCTCATGACAAACAAATTCCCAAAATTTCAAATTCAACCCAAATATTCCCAATTTAAATCTTTGACCATCACATTGACCCAATTTGATTAATTTTACCCAATTTGACCACAAGCCCCAATTTGCCCTTAAAGGCCAAAATTTCCCCAAATTAGCCTCAATATTGACCCAATTGACCCCAATCTTGCCCAATTTCAATTCCAAACCAAAATCCACTATCCCTAATCCCAATATAAATAAAATTTAACCTCAATTTGACCAAATTGTAAGCCCAATTTTACCCAAATAAAAAAGCCCCAATTTTGACCATATGATTAAAAATTTTGACCATATGATCCCCAATTTTGACCATATGATTAAATCCACCAAATTGGCATTTCAATTCAATTCAAAACCATTTGAAATTCTTTCAAATCCTTCATGACATATTCCTACATCAAATTCAACATTCAATTGACCCAAATTTTAGCCCAAATTCAATCTCAATTTTTAAAGCCCAAGCCCACCATGTTTAAGTCAAAAAGCCCAATTTCAATTAAAAACACATGATGATTTTTCTCCACATCATCCATTCAATTAAAATCACTCCCTAAGTTTAAAATTCATGATCAAATCATTCCAAATCAAGCCTCATGAAAAACTCCACCAAAAATAACAAATAAATCTAAAATCCCTTCTTATGAAAATTAGTCAAGCCACATGCAAGTCATGAAGCCACGTCTAAGCCATAGGTGAGCCATGAGAGCCTTGCCACATCACCAAGATATTAATAGCAAGGGGTCAAACCACTTTCAAATATCCTTAAGATCCTTTTTAACCCACTTCATGAAACACCCAAACCTCATGCTTATGGCAAATCACTTGGATGGAGACCTCACCATGATAATTAAGTTGAACCACCTGATTCTCCTCAGCACCCAAACCTTCCTTGGTGGGTGAACCCAACCCAAACCCATGCTTTGACCTAAAGTGGCCCAAAATGACCCTTTCCTCATACTATTTCAATCCTATACCCTTTACACATGGCCAACCCCAATTGACTTCACCAAACCCAAGCCCTGACCTCCTTGAGTCAGATGGTCACCTAAGCCTAGCCGGCCGGCCACCTAGGCTGCCAGAAAATCCATGTCCAAATGCTCCCCCTTGGCTAAAACTCAAAATTAAACCCATCCAACCTATCACCTCCCAATTGGATTTTTTCACATTGTCGGCATCCACATAAGTAACCCAAAGCACTCACCAATTGCCCCTGATGGCCTCTCATTCCCCTCCATTTAAACCCACCCTCCATGGACAAACTAAGAGAGCTTGAAATTTCTTAGGGAAACTCTGTCAAATTGCTTCCAAAGCTTCTTCAAGACCTCTTGAATTCAACCCAACCATCCTTAGCCACTCAAGCCCACTGCTCGAGCTTAATTTTGAAGCTCGAATTTCAGCCCGAAACAGGACACCACCCAAAAATCCACCAAACTCAAATTAATTGCACCCATACCATCCCCACACTGAGAGAAGAAGATCCCCCAGAAAAGCCTCATCACTAGAGCACCCTAAGGTGGACTTTGATTGAACCCCTAAATTGGCCTTGGTCGAATTTGGGTCTAGGTATCTCACCATTGCTTGAGGCTTCATCTAGGAGCTCTTTGGACTCAAGGAAAACTTTTGGAAGCACCCAGTCAAGGCCACACCTATTGGGCAAAGGTATTGAACCATAACCCTAAACCGAGCTTCATTTAATTCTCCATGCTTGTATACTTGATTTAATTCTTGATCAACTGTATAGATATTTTTCTCCTAGTCAAGATGAGTCTATAAGAACAAATCACACTTGATTTGGTTGAGTATCGAGCGAGAGATTAAGTCTAGAAGTTGGACGGCTCACGGGGTTTTATTTGTTGGGGACGATGACGAAGCAACGTTGGATCAAGCGTGTATCATATTGACGGCCAAGATTGCGTCAAATAGGAGCAGGGTTCATAAAGTGCAGGCTGGCTCGAATGATGGTGTCTAATCCCATGGCGACTCGTCGTCTTTCGACGCATAAGGATGAGTTGGATAAGTAGAAAAATAGGCTTTTATTTTAATTATTTAATGACAGGGAATTAAAAATTTATATCTGGTGTAGGAAAATCACCAAAATAAAATAAAATTACCCTCTTGCTCAGTGAACAGAGGAGAACAATGTGAATAAATTCTCATGTCAATTTGATGCATGTATAATTTTTAATTAATTAAATGGTATTTTTCTTCTTTTGATTCTCCATTTGCGTAGACATTTCACCATGACATGATTTTTGGGGCTTTGATTCTCTCTATCATGAGGCATTTTCTCAGATTTTTCCAAGGTTAGAGGCGATCTCTAGGCAGAGATCTCTATTTTTCAATTGTATCATGTCTGTTTTGGTAAAATAATTATAAAAATTAAAATACTCATCCAAAAAATACAAAATTTGTTTTCGTAGGTTCACTGTAGTCAGAGAATCCTAGTAAAAATATAAACTTAGTTTAACTCATTAAAAATAATCCTAATTTTCATCAACCCTAAAAAATAAAATAAAATTAATTTGGAGTAATTATAAATGTAAATGACATGAAAATTATTCTCCACTGTAATTTAATTGTAGAGGAGCTTCCCATAAAAATTTTAAGTTAATTGGAGTTAATTTGACAACTCAAATGAATTAATCAAGTGAAATCACATTTTTGGCATTAAAATAACTATAATATTTAAAATAAAGATAAAAAATTACCAAATTGGTTTTGGGAGCTCCTTATGACCAGAGGAACCTAAGAAAAATAAAATTGGAATTAAAATAAATACTCCATTTTTGAGCTATTTTTGGGCATTTAAATAATTAAATATTAATTAAAAAATCATAAAAATTGTGAAATTAAAAAAAAAACACACTAAAATGTGACATTAAGTCAAGATGTTAATTTTAAAGGCTTAAAAATGAATTTTCTCTAATTTCTCACTAAAATAATTCTGATAATTAAAATATAAATTAAAAAAATATGAAATTTGTTTATTTGGGTTCCGTGGACTTAGAGAGATTTAATAAAAATATAAAACTTAATTTTATACTTAAAAAATATTTTTTATTTAATTAATGCTCAAAACAAAC